CTGACGGCTGCGCGCTGCTAGCTGCCTGCGCCGGCTGGCCTGTGGCTGGCCCTGGATCTGGCGAGTTTCTTGGCTGGTGGGAGGGGATCTACCTAGAGTACCTCCTGACCCTTGCAGTGATTCTGAAGATCACGATCCTGACCCCTACTAGATTTTGTATGACCGCTCATCTGGGCCCCAAATCCCAGACCAGCTGGAACAAGATTCAGTGTTCAGGAAGGCCTTTCACTTGGTCCATCCTGATCACGTCCACTTTCGTCTTCAATCCACACGCTCCAAGCTGGCAGCCCGAGGGTTCCACCTTAGCCATCGAAGGTGGGGGGAGTCCTACATGACATTGCTCCTACAAGATCGTCAACTCGGACGAAGCATGATGGCGTTGACCCTTCACATACTAAGGCACTTCAAGTGAACAGAAATCAACAAGTGTGCAGGAAGAAGGCCTACGTCAAAGCCTTGAAACAAGCCACATTGTACGGTATGACTTGGTACAGAGGCCAATACATGACAGCCACCCAACTTGGAGTGAAAGCGGGTCATGGACGACAAGTGAACAGGCGCATGCTTCGACTACATCTGACCCTCACCTGTCTCCCATTCGAGCACGAATCGTCGACCCTCAGGAAGATTTCGACAGAATCGAACGTCCTTCTTCTCCTGGAATATAGGCCAACTGAGCTTGACCAAAAAAGATTTATTCCGGGCTTGGCTTCACCAACAACCCACTGACTGCGCCTGTTTGCAGGACACTGGATGGCAGTTTACTGGAGAATGGCAAAATCAACCATTCTCCTACCTTCACTCAGGGCCTCACAATCACCAAGGCGGTTTGTTGACCATCGTGCGCGCATGGACCACACCGATGGATAGCAGGATACAGCATGTCAGACTCTACAAGCACACCTATAACATTGACATCCTGAACCTGTACCAATTCCCATACGACACAGCTGACCCGGATAGTGGACTCCAACGATCCAGTTTTTGGACCACCTTGGAATACACCCTCAAGGCTCTTCCAAAACGCAACTGCTGGATCCTCGGGGGAGACTTCAATACCAGCCTGATGCATCAAGTCAATTGTGTTGGGCTCAGTGACTTTGCTACACCTATGGGTCGATCCAAGGGCACCAACCACAAGGATGCACACCGATTGCAACAGCTACTTAAGGACTTTTCCATGGTGGCCCTCAACACCTGGACTCCGGACCTTCCTGCAACCTACCGAGGTCCACGACATGCATCCTCCAGGATCGACTTCGTTCTGATCCAACAGAGGGACGGGGACCCTGCTGCCAAATATGTCAGCTACCTGCAGGACCTTCCGCAGATGATGGGACTTCATTTTCATGAGGACCACCAACCATTGCTGTGTGGTATCCCTTGGAGGAGGTCTTGTTGCAACATGGAAAATGGAGCAGGCCTTGAAGTCACATCATTCATATACACGCTAAGAGGTTCTACAATCATTCAAAACACCTGGGACTCAGTCCAAAAGACTGACCCTCCAATATCACTGGGAAAGGGACACTCCGGACTGGCAAGCATGCTCTACCTGATCTCAGCACCCTGAATGCCACCTTGCTGGAAGCCTGCCGTGCCTTCCGCCCAGCGCACCGACCAGCTCAGGACGGCAGACGAAATGGCAATGGGCGTTGGCTCATCCTCCTGCTTCTAGCTGGAGGCCGGCGACCAAATGGGAGCTGCTTGACTTATTTCAAGGCTGGAAATGGGTCACCCAACAGACCAAGTGGAAAAAACAGACTCGTAAACTGGCGCTACGACGCCGAAGAGCCCGTGTTCAAAACATCATTGATACAGCCACCATGTACTGGGCAGACAACAATACGCCATACGCACTACTACTTCAAGACCATCAACACCCTGACTCCAAAAACATACCCACAACGACCATCTTCGAGGTTCCCAAGGACAACTTCTCTCACCGGACGAGGAACTTCAGGTATTGGACCAGTACATGACGAACCTCTATCGCGATACACCGGTCCATTTTCCTTCGTTCCACTTGCCCCCGCTCACTGTGACAGCGGATGATATAGCCAATGAACTGAGTCATTTGGAAGGGCGTAAGGCTGTACCACAACATATTGCACCCAGCTTTCTTTGCAAGAAACCACCTCTTTGTTGGTGAGCTGCTGGAGGGATGGTGCTCCATGTGGTTCCGGGAAGGACACCTTCCTGATGAATGGCGCAGCGGCTGGATTGTGTTCCTGACCAAACCCAACAAGGCGCCTACTCAACCTAATGTGCTACGTCCGATTGCCCTTCAAACACCCATTGCCAAAAGCCTCATGTCCATTTTTGTCAACAGAGCCAGACATCCAGCTTTGAGAACGTTCCCCAATATGCCTACTGGCCTGGACGTGGTACATGGGATGCCATTTGTCGAGTTTTCAATCACGTTCAGGAGGTGGTGCAGCTCAGTGAACGGTGGAAATACAATGCAAGCCGCATTGACTCCCAATTCACGGGGACACGTCCCCTGCTGTACGGTGGATGCCAGTTGCTCTTGGACCTCACCCAGGCCTTCGATCATACGCCTCGGGCATCCTTGCAACAAGCGTTTGAACTGTTGAGCATTCCTCCAAGTCTCATGGGTGTCTTACTTCAATGGCATGTGGACACCAAATACATTTTGACGTACAAAGGTCACACCAGTACTATACCTACACACAAGGGGGTACGACAGGGATGCCGGGGCGCCCCCTTTTTCTGGGCCTCCTTTGTGGCCTTGATCCTCAACGAGGTAGCAAGGTCATCTCTGTTTCCAGTTCACCAGCATGGACTAATTTCAGCAAGGCTTAAAGCACATGGGCCACGTCCTGGATACATTGACTAAATTTGGGATGACCGTCAACCTCACCAAATCTGCAGTACTCCTCGACCTTCGTGGCAAACAGAAAACCATTGAAAACCATGGTGCAGAAACAATACTTGCGCAGTCGAATGCATCACCATATTTTGCAGATTTCAGGGTCTACCCAGACTTACGACATTCCACTAAAAACTTCCCACGACTACCTGGGAGTGAAGATCAGCTATCAGCAAACTCAGATCCTGACTATGAAGCATCGTTTGGCTGCAAGTCACCACCGATTTCGCCAACTGCTACCTTGGTTCAAGAGGGGAATCACATCAGCGTGGCACAGAAATGTGAATTGTGGTATACTTGTCTCTTCTCCATCTCCTTGTACGGCACTGACGCCGTTGGAGTGAATAGCGCCCTGATTATGTTTCAAAGGCAGATGATGACACAACTTCGTCAAATAGGAGGTGACCACTCCTTTTTGACCAACAATTCTCATCGAGCATTCCTGCGCACGCATGGACTTGAGCACCCCATCGGTGCCCTGCATCGGTCGACTACTCTCCCAATTGAAATGGCGGGAGGAGAGACAAACGCAACTGCCACAGAATGACATCCTCATGACCTCCAACGTTTTGCACTTGCGCAAAGCTCTTGAATTCACACAGATTTGGCTGCAGGACTACATCGTGATAAAGATTCTGTTGGAAGATGATGTGAGCACGTGTCCTTTGGAAGAAACCCTTCGCAGGTGCTTTCGGGAAAAATAGAAAAGTGCCGAAAAGGCAAGACGCACGGCGCAGGTTACGCGCGACGGTGCAGTGCGCAGTTCTAGCATCATGGGTCTGTTGAGGCCATCTCGGGTATATGTTGAGGCTATGTAGGGGGTACCTTGCGCCATCTATGTTGACATGGCCTCAAGATGCCAATTTTTGCCGTCCCGGACCCCTCTCCGAGGCCCGAACCCTGTAAAAACCACGGTTTTAGAACATAGCCAGAACAAACTCTGGCCCCATCCAAGCACACGAAAAACTGTAAAACACGATGTTTTTGAACGTCGCGCGCAAAAAGCATTGGCGGCAGGGGGTGCACGGCCAGTGGGCCCCTCACCGGATAAAAACGCCCGCCGCCCCTGCCGCCATCCCCTCCCCATTGAAACCCTTGTACTTTACAGTGTATTGTTTCTGTCCGCATTTTTTGTTCGTTTTTCGTCGTGGAAGCCCCCTGGTGCGAGAAAGGCTGCGTGCGTAATTGGCATCTTGTGTTTTTGTTCGTGCTCTCTGGCACCTGTGTTTCTATCGAAAACTATGTATTATATGGTGTTTTCTGGGTCGCAGAAAGAAGCGTCTAGATGGAACATATGCGAAAACCACGCGTTTTAAGGTGTTTTGGGCTGTGGGCTTCGAAAACCATGTGCTCTATGGTGTTTTCGGGGTTGCGGAGAGAAGCGTGTGGATCGAACAACATGTGTGAAAAATGTGTTTTTTTGTTTTCGGGGTTGCGGAGAGAAGCGTCTGGATCGAACATGTGGAAACAAAGTGTTTCAAATTGTGTTTTCGGGTTTGCGGAGACAAGCGTCTGGATTGTCTGTGTGTAACAACCATGTCTTTATGACACTTACGCATTGCGAAGAGATACATCTGGACAGGACATGTCCGAAAACCATGTCTCTCTTCACCTTGCTTGGGGTTGGTTCCCGCTTGTGCCTCTTGACGGCTCACCCGACTTTTTGTGGAGGCCCTCTACCGGCGCAGTCAGACGCTGCCGGGGCGCCGGCCCCCGTCTTCTCTCCTCTCTCTTCTCTTTTCCCATCCCTCTTCTCTCTTATCTCCTCCTCTCTTCCCTCTCCCCTCGTTCTACCTCCTCCCAGCCGGCGCCCAGCTGTCAGGAGCAAGCCTGGAAATAGAATATCTTTAGAATATGTGTGACTACAGCTGTCTTTATTGCTTTAATCAGAGATTGAGGTCATATTTTTTTGAAAACAGTCATTCACTAAAATCTCCAAATTCTATCTATGTTTTGGCTTTGGTCCAGTTCTTTTTTGAACAATAGGGTATTCCACCTACTCGAGGATGATTGTCCGTAAATATTGCGTGTGTGATCGTTCTAACGCAGAGGTTGTTCCAGGTGTTTGATTACCAGGATTCAAAAATTTCTTTGTTGTCCTGTCGAGGTGTTGAGCGGCGCAACTCCAATCTCTCAAAGGCGGGTGAAGTCCTCGTGCTGAACATCCCATGGCCAGCACATTCTTTGTACTTGGTATGCATTGTCGGTGATATAATAAACGGAGTGCGTGTTTGTGTTTCATCGGACTATTGTTTCCACACCTTCAATCCATTCATGAAATTAAAGGAACACTGACATACGCTCCGTCTCACATATTTAATATCAACAGGACACCTTTGCTTTACACCGATCACCGCTTACTTTGATATCATTTCTGGTACAAGACTGGATAAAGACAGACACCCATGAACAGGCAGCTGGGATCACCTGCCGCAAAGAGTCCCACAGGAGAACTCGAAGCGCCTGAATGCCTTGGACCTACGCATTGCTGGACTACAAGGACATCATGGAGTAGGGGCGTCGACAGCGTTGTAAACCTACCCAGACGCAAGCGGCGTGTGGAAGGAGCCAGTGGAGAATCGAAGAGGGACATTGGAAAGCTTCGAGATGAGGCGGCGGCGATTTGCAAAGCGCATAAGAAGAGCATAAAAGAGCAGTTTTCCCGAAAGCGGTGCGAAGGGTTTTCGTCTAACTCTGGGGGTCTGGGGGTAGGGCCTTGTTCGCAACCGTTGTCAACCGTTCGCAACCGTTTGCGGTAGGGCGCTAAGGCGCTCACACTGGAGGAAGCGTTTGGAGAGCTTTCGGATGGAAACGTGACGTTTCAGATTCGTGTGAAATGGCGAGGAAACGTGTGGAAACGTAAGACGTGGAAGTGTGTAGGATGATTTCACTGCGCAGGCGCAGCGTTTTGCGAGATCCGCAGTTTTCTGCGTAGTCACAGTGGGATTGGCGTTTGGAGGGTGGTGTTTTTGGGGTGTTGGATGTGGCTGTGACATTGGGATTTGCGTCTCAAGGTGTTGCGTCGAAGCTGTTTTTTTCGTGACAAGTCTCAGCTGAAATTGCGATTTTTGTTGATGGGAGTGTGCTCAGAACATGTCGAAATCATTCCAAACGTGTAGGTTGGTGCAAATTTTGTTGAAGTTCATGATATGATATATTGTCACTTTCGTGGCAGGCGCAGTGCGTTTTGCGGGTTTTGAGGTGTGGAAGTTCGGATTTCGTGGCAGGCGCGTGGAATCGCATGGAATCGGTAGTTTACTTTGTGCGCGTTAGACGTGTGGACGGTTTTCGTGGCAGGCGCAGGGATACATGAGGTTGCGCGCGCTTGACTTTTGGAGGAAGTCTCGTACGAAATGCGCGTTCTGGAGACTTTGACGTGTGGGAGGAGGTCTCGTGCGAAACGCTCGTTGTGGAGACTTGACGCGTGACCTTTGGACGAAGTCACGAAGTCTCGAACGAAACGCTCGTTTTGCAGACTTCAAGTGTTAGTTTTTGAGGCAGTCTCGTGAATTTTGGAACAAGTCTCGTGCGAAATCCTTGTTTTGGAGACTTGGCGCGTGACTTTTGCAGGAGGTCTCGCGCGGAACGATCGTTTTGCAGACTTGAAGTGTGACTTTTGGAGGAAGTCTCGAACGAAACGCTCGTTTTGCAGACTTCAAGTCTCGCGCGACACGCTAGTTTTGGAGACTTGACGAGTGAATTTTGGGAGAAGCCTCGAACGAAATGCATAGCCTCGACGTGTGACTTTTGGAGGAAGTCTCGTCGTACGAAACGCTCGTTCTGGAGACGTGACGGTTGACTTTTGGAGACTTTAGTAGTCCCCACAAGAGTGTCCTACAGAGTCCTACAAGAGTGTCCCACAAGAGTGTGCGACAAGAGTGTCCTACAAGAGTGCGCCGCAAGAGTGTCCCACAAGAGTGTCCGACAAGAGTGTCCTACAAGAATGTCCCACAAGAGTGCGTGTCCCACAAGAATGCCATACAAGAGTGTCCGAAAGAGTGGCCCAAGAGGGGTTTACAAGAGTGTTCCGCAAGTGTCTCCACAAGAGTGTCCTGCAAGAGCGCCCGACAAGAGTGCCCGACAAGAGTGTCCCACAAGAGTGTGTCGCAAGAGTGTCCTACAAGAGTGTCCTACAAGAGTGTCCTACAAGGGAATCCTACACGAGTGTTCCGCAAGAGTGTACCACAAGAGTGCCCAAGACTGTTGCGCAAGAGAGTCGTACAAGAGTGTTCCGCAAGAGTGCCCCACAAGAGTGTCGGACAAGAGTGTCCTACAAGAGTGTTCCGCAAGAGTGCCCCGCAAGAGTGAGTGTCATACAAGCGTGTCCCACAAGAGTGACAAACAAAAGTGTCCCACAAGAGTGTCCCGCAAAAGTGTCCCACAAGAATGTCCTACCCCACAAGAGTGTCCTACAGATTGTCGTACAAGATTGTCCCACAAGAGTGTCTTACAAGAGTGTTTCCCAAGAGCGTCCCACAAGAGTGAGTGTCACACAAGGTTTCCCATAACAGTGCCCACAAAGGTTTCCGAAAAGAATGTGTCCTACAAGAGTGTCCCACAAAAGTGTCTCCTACAAGAGTGTCCAAAATTGTTTGGGTGTTTGTTTTCGAGTACGTGTTTGCATTCGGGTTTGTGGGTTCCATCTTGTTTTTTTCACATTGAGTTTCTGTCTTCAGCGCTCAGTACTTTCAATCAATGCATTCCAAGTCTTATTGATAGAGTGTTCAGGTGAACAATTTGACGGTGAAAAGTGCAGCGCATGACGTGGACATTGGCAAGAATAGCGACGACCTCCGGAAGCTTGAGCGCCAACGTGTGGAGGACAGGGCTGAAGAGTGCAGTCTCTCATGTTCCACATTATATATAGATTCGTTGAACACAAGAAGGTGTGTATTTTTAATGCAAGTTGACTGTTAAATAGTTTTTGTTCTATGTAGATTCTCCCAAACTATTTGGTTGGCCTTTTGAACATGTTTCTGCTTGCCTGAAGCGGGGAGCAAGAGATTGGCTTCAGAGCATCTCAGAGATGTTGATACAACGCTCCCTATTGTAGGTGTAGCTGCTTGTCTCTTTGCACGCCTGAGGACAACCAACGCCACAAGCAGGATGTTGACGGCATTTACGAGGTGTGGGTTCCGTTTCATGGATGGGTGTGACCTTGGAGCTACAAAATCCGTGTCAGTCATAGACAGCACCCAGCCACTTTCGGAATGTCAGGAGCTTGATCAGAAGGTCTATGAGAAGAACTTTCAGAATTTGGAGGAGGGCAGCCTTGTCTTCTTTGCCTAGGCACTTTCTTAGTGAAGGCTTCGACATAAAGATCAGCAACAGTGGTATTTCATTTGGCTCCTTGTCAGAGTGAGTCCAAAGTATGCCTTATGAGTTTCCTTCACAGACAGCAGGTAGGCACACCTCTAACGCTCCACATATATACACCCTTATATAATATACAGTATATTGTACTCATTCATAGGCCGTTTGGGCGTGCAATTTTCCAAAACAACAGTGGGCCATATTGGGCATTGCTTCCTGATGTGATGGATGTGGCAGCCACCAGAGAATCCCAAAATGTGTGCGTATGACTCAACCTACATATGTGAGTGCGCACATATAACAGCGCTGGGTTTTAAACATTGATCGATCTGGGTCTCCCAACACGTTTGTAGTGCACTACACAGTTCTGGGTCCGTTATGTCTCTGTCACTCGCACACTCACTGTGTCTCCTAGTCGATGACCTCTCTTTGGCTGCAGGACAATGTCACCAAGCTCACTCGTGGCACAGTGAAGCTCTGTCAGGCAGAACTCTTTTGCTGATGAGAGGTTTTGGAAGGGATGTGATGATGTGAGGTGATATGAGGGACATCGAGAGCATGGAGTTGATTGTTCAGTAGTTGTTCCTGTTAGACGAGATTGATTTTACACTTGGCCGTCCAGAATATTGCGGATTGCAGATTTACAAGTTGTGATAGAAGGCTGGGTACGCCTTTGTAGAGTGTGCGAGATCCACGTCATTGCTTTGGAGCAACACACGCAAACTTCCAAATTTCTGCAAGGTTCACCATTGTTTCCGTACTGCCTCAATTGGCATATGTGGGCATGGTTTGTGGGTGTTGTGGTTATTTGTAGTTGATGGCCCAGTCTAGACTCGACAGCTCTCTCTGTTTATTGTAACCTCCGGCTGTGAGTTCGAAACCAGACCCAAGCGCGCAGCTTTGAGCGAACAGTTCCTGTGCAAACGGAGGTGGTTGGAGTCTTCCCGGGTGCTCGAATGAATGACGGCACGGAGGCTGGTGTTTTGGAACCAAAGGTCGAGAGTCAAGGAGTGGCCAAGGCCAAGATGTCGGTGAACACCCTTGTCAGGAAGAGCTGGACGTGGATGTGGAACTGCTAAACTGGGAGGATTGCGCGCAGAACCTGGTGAGCCGCGTCTGCTGGCCGGCACCTGCTTTGTTGCCGCCGTTTTAGAGCCTTCTCATTTTGCTGCGCCTGCCAGACCAGACATAGACGAAACATACAAGCGGAAACCGGAAGCTGTTGGTCAGAGCTTGACATAAACCAGGAATCAGGTGTTGATATTGTCATTCGTTTAGACTGCAGCGTATTTGTTCTGGAGTTTCGAGAGGGTTGCATTTACATTTGCATTTCTACCCGGCTTTTTGAGAATTCTGGCATTTCAAATCCGCCAGAGGCTATCAGGTCCCGCGACCCGACGGTTGCGCAGTTGTCATGCGCATTTGGCATGGCTGTCTACGCATGTCTACACGCTTAAACCGAACTGAGCAGTTCCGGTTCAAGTTCCCGCGCAGACACGCCTGGAACCTGAAACGACTGACTAGAATAGGAATTATTGTTTTTGGGTGAAAGACTGCTTTGAAACTCTTTGGCGTGAAATCTTGGTTGAAGTCTTGGTACTGCAAATGGCTGAAGTTGGATACCAGTTTCTGAAACAACTCTGGAAGCAACTTCTATTCCACTTGCAACATCCACTTCCGATCCAGAAACACAACCTCCGGATAAGAGGACGTGCGCACTTTTGGAATTCCGCATGCCTCGAAGAAACCTACTGTAGGTTTTCACAAAACGCCTAAGTATATATATATATATACACTGTATATCTAGATGTGAAAATTGCAGCTTGATGTCCACCAAGCCTGTCGCTTCACGGATGCAAAGGTTTCTTTGAACTGTGCACATTGGTGCAACCTTTTCCGTGAACACAGTTGGATGCTTGATTCCAAGGTTGACTGGAAAATTGAAAACTCTGCGCTGTTGATTTTTAACGCCTGAAAGTGAGACTCAGGAACACGGCATGCGTGACTGCAGACCTGGAAACCTAAACAGCCTTTCACCTCTACAAGTGGACAGTATTTACAACGTTCACAACCGATGCAGGTACATGGGACCCACATCCCGCGATATCACCCAGCTTCGTTGGTCATGGCATTGCGGCTTGACCCCCTGTATAACGCCGAAAGGCTCCCTGTGAATCGCCGGGTTCCATACATGTATATAACAGCCATTTTATGATCGAAATCTGTGGTTTTGAAAGATCGGGGCGCATTGGTTACACAGGTTTCTTCTAACATTTGGTGGCCTCAGTACGCACTCTTATCTCTAGCGTGTGTGTGTGTGTGTGTGTCAACCCCTGTTCCAAAGGGTGCCTTCAGGACTCTCCACTTTTTCACAAGCAGGGGGGCAGAGAGGACCAACGAAGCTCTTTGCAAGATCGTAGGAAGCGGAAGCTGATCACTTCCGTGTACCTGCTCGTTCTTTCACAAGCTGTCACCCTACTTTTCCACGGTTTGACTCATGGTTCTTCATGTTTCCACCCCCAAACCTTGGTTGCAGCTGAGTTGAGTCGCTCGTTCACCACCGCTGAGCTCTGCAGACTGAGAAACAGCCTTTGTTCAAACACGTACAATTTTTCGGACCTTTCACCTTGCCGTTCCATCACCTTCCTTCTCATCGTGGGAATTGAGTAAACAGCAAACCAATGTCAGAGTGTGAGCCGCTCAGCCGTCCCACTTGGGTGCTGGGTGTGATCCCCTTCACTGGGGCGCTGAAGCCATTCCGGAAATCATCGTTTCCATTTTTGATAACTGATTCCACCTTCTCTTCTTTCATAACTGAATTTACTGCTTTTCGAGCCGCCGGGCTATAAACGACGGAATTTCATCCACTTATTGTCACTTGTGTCACTACCACTTTCCATAGCAGTCTTTCAATTTTTCAATCCGCAGCTGCATTTCAAGCTTTCAAGATGTACAGTCGACTCAAGTGCCATTTCATATCACATTCTCATTTTCATTTCATCCTTCATTCCATTCTGCGCTTCCATTTCCAGTTCATTTCAATTTCCATTTTTCATTGGCTATCACCACTTTTTCACGATTTCATCACAATTTCATCCCACATGTACGAGTATCAAGAGCCTACACATCAGCTGCCGTGCCGCGCCGGCGCCATCTCCGCAGCTGACAACGTTTTCAGAGTGAGACCTCAGCTACCCACAATAGCCATACCATGCAATACCCTTGGCCTTTTCCACATTGGCCTACACAACCTCCTTCGACAGCGCCCACAGTACCCATCCAGCCGCCGCAGCACCATATGTTTCCCATGATCTCACACACGCCAGCGACTTTCCCTCACATGCCACAACCCACTTGGCAACATCCACCGCAACCACACATTCACCCACAGATGCAACTCATCCCACAACATCATCCTTTTCCTTTATCCTACGCTTCGCCTCCGACCGAACACTTACCCGCGCATCCTCAGACCATGATTCCCACTCCACCACCATTTCACCAACCACCAACATCACCACCAGTGCTTCATGCACAGTCGGCTCCATTACCACAGCCCCAACCGGCACCAATCCATTGGGACTACGCTCAAGGCGGGTGGCAACAACCTTTCTCTGTCTTTCCACCAGTCGCCCACCAACCACCACAAGCTCCGCAGACATAACCCTCAGAGATTACTGCTCCATCTCCACAAGACACAGTTCCTACTGTACCTCTTGCCTCCACCACCGCTGCGGGCATTTCTGGCCCTCAATCGCCAGCATCCACAGCACCTTCAGTCCAAGCAGAACGTCCCACCTCAGCCCTCCCCACACAAGCAGATCATCCAGCCACCGAGCACACTTCTCCAGCTCCACTACCACTTCCAACCCCGGCTCCAACAGACATCCCAACCACAGCAGCTGCTTCCTCAGCTCCTGCCTCCATAGCGCCCAGCCACAAGAGAAGCGGCCATCACCGGCACCACCGTCACCGACGTCGCCACCATACTCGAGGCAGACGCACTCACCGCCACCACACGGCCCACTCCAGCAAACGTCGTGATTCCTCAACACGCCACCGTCGCCCTCGCTCACCTTCTTCTTCTTCCTATTCCACGTACTCCTCAAGCCGCTCACGCAGCCGCTCCAGAGCACCCATCTCCCTTCTTCCCAACAACGACTCCACACAACAAGATGCTGTCGCCAACATGTCACAATCCGACTACCCCAACATTCCAGCTCTACGTCGGCCTACCAAACCATGGCGGCCATTTCCCCAACTCCAACAACGCACTTCCCAAGAACAGCTCGAACACTGGCTTGATTGGCACGCCGACCAGTTTGAAGCACCTAACAAACCACAGCACACTTACATTGCCAAACTACTGCTCGACAGCGGCTTTACCTACCAAGACTTATCAGACTTCCGCCAATTCACTCACATTAAATGGAACGACGCTACCAACACTCATGACATCTACCAATACCACTGCATCACCATTCCCAGCCTTGTCCAGAAAGCAACCCGCAGCTTCCCACCACCAGCCACACGTGCCACCTCCACCACACCAGAGATGGTGCACATCAATGCAGGCCACACCGGCCCACGTTGCAACATCAGCAACATTCTACAACAAGGCCGATTCCTCCCCAGCATCCTCCACTTTGCTAACAATCCCGGCTTTTTCGCCCAAGCCACACGCATTACACACCACCCACAACACGACAACGAACAACATGCACGCATTCTCCACAACATATGGAACCTAGCAAAGAACACCCACTCACTCATCATCAACCTCCTTGCCTGGGCCAAGGCACCAAATTCACCAGCGGCGGCGAAGAACATGCAATGAACCTACTCCTCCAGAACCATGGTGCCGTCTGCCATGCGAATGCCCGCTCCTGGGTGATCCACCCCGACAACGCAATCGTCAAGGGCCTGGCCTGGTCCATCAACGCTACTCCACCAGACACCTGAACAACTACCACATCACCATCCACTTCTGAGGCCATTCCATCCTGTTTCACCTTTCACCACATACCACTAGTCCAGCCAAGAAGAACCAGCGGGAGGTCGACCTCCATGGGCAGCGATTGCATCACTAGGATACCATGCTGGCGGGTCATGCGGTTGTTTTGATATCGGATATCTATCAAATGCCACGCAGTTTTTCTCCGATTGCGAACGTCTTGGTTGGATTCTGATGTTTGCGCCGATTGAATTCTTTTCCTTCCTCTTGTGGTTTCACATGTTTTCAAACTGTGACCTTTCAAGCCAAAGATAGCCTCTATGGAGGCCGATCATGCTGCCTCACTTTCAGTACTGCAAAATTCATGCTCGATAATTCGCGCCCGGTAATTCAATTGCATGCTCCGGCCGCTTACTCATGCCACCTGGACCGCTGCGCTGACCATGCCGCATGCAGAGCTGCTGCTCATTGGCATTGATCATGCAAGATTCCACACAGGATGAATCACAATCCAGATCACACGGAGCTGCTACATCGCGCAACCATCGCCCTCACACAGCTGCAGCGCCTTCTCCAACAAGCAACAGACATTTTGGCGAATTTACACACCCTCTACCTCCTTCACACACGGCAAGTCGATGCACATTTTCCACGTTCTTTTCCACCCCTTCCTCCACCTCCCTCTTGCACCATTCCCATTCCTTCCCCCACTTCTTCTTGCGACTCAGCGCCCACCGAACCCATTAAGCGAGCACCACAAGCACCTACAGCGTCACAAGAGTCCTCCCCCTCCACACCTACTCCACAACCGCAACCGAAGAAAAAACGTCAACCACCACCACCGTTGAACCCCAACGCCGATTGGGACGCTTGGGATGACGAAGCAGATACCCGACTCGTGGAGCTCAAAACAGATACCCGTCTCCGCCCCGCCTGGAACTATGTTGCCCGACGAGTGGGCTTTTCCATTGAGCAGTGCAAGGCCCGCTGGGCAGAACATCAAGAGGACCAGCGCGTTCTCAAGGCCTCCATCAGACTTCAGCCATCACCTCCACCTTCCAACAAAGGCTCACCCGCCCACTCCCTCGCCTCTACATCGCCAGCAGGCACACCGCCAGCGCCACTTTCTCCCTGTTTTACGTTCCCTCCCAATTCACCCACAGAAGCAGCGCCAGCGACTCCTCCTCAACGGCTACATTCGGCGCCAGACTACTCATACACTCCATCTACACCTCCTCCTGCATCATCAGCAGCGGAAGCTTGCGCTGCGGACATGCAGCTGGCTATCAGTGAGGACAGTCATCCGGAATTCGCAGCCGATCAACTCAGTTTCACCCACTTCTCCTCGGCGCGCTGCCGGAAAACAACATCACGCTCAGCTTTTGTGACCACACTGCCTACCAGTCAATGGCTTTATAGCACTCCAACTTCACAGGACCTTTTGAGTCATGCTCCAGTTTCATTCCAGTTGACGTGCGAATCACGGTTCTTCTTCTTTCTCTACCTCATTTTACTGACACTTTCAATTCACCGCAGCCATTTATCGATAACTTTGATTTGTATGCACTGATCGCCTTCACTCCGCCCATCTATCATGGCCTCAGCGCATTCGCAGGAAGCACGTGGAGGACAGCCATCATTCAGCCTCAACACCGGCCACGGCGGCCACCACCCTACCTCTACCCATGCACAACCAAGTTTTGCTCATCGCACCCACTCCACTACACACTTCCTTCCAGGCAACGGTCCTCTACATTTAGCCCCCTCACACACTCACCAGCCCGAAATCTTACTTCTTCACAAGCAGTTCGAGATCCTCTCCCTGCTCGTCTCTCAAATCCTTGAGCACCCCATGGCTGCAGCTCCTGTACCAGACAGCACCATGTTTGCCGACTACAACGCCTACTGCCTCTACTACCAGTATCATTGCAGCATAGTCGACCTTGGACGTGCTACCATGCGCCTGATGCGAGCACGAAGGTTGCTCCAATTTGTACCAGGTCCTCCCGGGCTGCCCGGCCAATATCGCCTGGACCCTACTGTGCATTTCCCGCCTCACACCGAAGACTTTCTTGCCGCCTCCCCGACTTCTTCCTCACAGTCTCCCACTCGCCCACACAGCCATTCCAGCCCCCCCAGGGAACGTTCACGCTCCCGTGACCACTCGGCATCCTAACAACATCCGCTCTCCAACCATTTTCGGAGACATCTATGCGATCACATCGTGACGCCAACCAGAGCGGACCCAGCTCGAAGTGAGCCGGCACTTACATTCAGTCTCGCCGACTAACGTTTGCACAGTGCAGAAAAAACCGAAACCCTTCAGTTCACTTTTCTCTTTTTTCTCTTGTCATTCAACCTTTTCATCTTTCCAGCAGCTTTCTCAAGATTTTATATAGCTAGCGCATCACGGATACCTCCTACAGCCATGTCGGACACATCGTTTGGCTCAGCACCTGAAGCTACGACACTGATGACCTTGGAGCCTTCACCTTTTGCTTCATCAGCTGACACACAACCAAGTCCAGCCGCTGGACATTTCCTGCCAGGGAACCCGCTTCCCTACCTAGCTCCGTAGGCCACTCATCAGCCAGAGCTTCTGCTTTTGTGATGGATGATTGCCACCCTCAACACGATTGTCACAGACCTCCAGAACCATCCACTCGTCAGTGACCCCATTCCCCCAACAAGCCTACCGTCTCTACCTCCAGATCCGCAACACCCTTCGCCACTTGGGGACCATCAACACCGACTTATGCCAAGGCATACGCCTGCTCCAGTTCCTACCTGCTCACCAGGCTCCCCAGGCCATTATCGCATGGACCCAGCAGCGAGGTTCCCACCTTCAGCGACCACCAACTTCCTCTCCACTCTGCCTCTTCCACCTCCAAGTTGCCCTCCCACTACAAGAGTGTTTCGCAAGAATGTCCCACAAGAATGCCATACAAGAGTGTCCCACAAGAGTGTCTTCTAGAGTGTTCCGCAAGAGTGTCCCACGAGAGTGTCCCGCAAGAGTGCTCGACAAGAGCGCTCTACAAGAGTGTCCCACAAGAGAGTCGGACAAGAGTGTCCCACAAGACTGTTGCAAAAGATTGTCCGACAAGAGTTTCCTACAAGAGTGTCCCACAAAAGTGTCTTACAAGAGTGTCCCGCAGGAGTGTCCTGCAAGGATGTCCCACAAGAATGCGTCCTACAAGAGTTGTCCACAAGAGTGTCCCTCAAGAGCGTCATATAAGAGAGTCCCACAAGAGAGTCCTACAAGAGTGTTCCACAAGAGTGCCCCACAAGAGCGTCCCACAAGAGTGTCCCACAAGAGTGCTCCAGAAGAATGTTCAACGAGAGTGTCCTACAAGAGTGCCCCACAAGAGTGTCCTACGAGAGTGCCCCACAAAATGTCCTACAAGAGTGTCCCACAAGAGTGTCCTACAAGAGTGTTCCGCAAGAGTGTCCTAAAAGAGTGAGTGTCATACAGTCATACAAGATGTTCTACAAGAGTGCGCCAGAGTGTCCCACAAAGGTTTCCGAAAAGAATGCATCCTACAAGAGTGTCCCAGAAGAGCGTCTCCTACAAGTTTGTTTTCGAGTACGTGTTTGCGTCCGGGTTCTTTGTTTCCATCTTGTCTTTACTATTTTTCGCTTTGTGGATGTTTAGCAGTTTAGCGCGGTCATTCTATTACTTGGGGTGCTTTAGCATTTCATTTGGTTTATTCACTGTACCGGGCTTGAGTTTGTTTGCGTTTTTCTGCCCAGAGTCTGTTTGTCTAGCGTGCTTCGGACTGTGGTTCCCTTGCTGCGGGGTTTGATTCTTAGGAATTTAGGTCTTTGGTTTGTGTTGTTTTGTTTCGGGCCTGCTTCTTTAGAGTGCCTGGACCTGTTTCCTTTGCATGGATTGTTCATCTATTTTGGCTTGTGTGTTTTCGTATCTTGGATCTTTGTTTCTCAGGGTCTTTTTGCAAAGGGGGGTTGTGACTTAGTTTCCTTTACTGAGGGTTGTTTCGTTGAACGTGTTAAGGATGTTCGCTCTGACTCTTTTATGTAACCTCCTTAAACATGTTTTTTCGAATATATATATATATAAGTTCTTTTCCTTGGGTTTTGATTGTTCGGGATGTTTAGGTGTTCAATCTGGTTTGCTTCTCGGGCCTGTTAGTTTCGGGGATTTCGGTTGCTTCATTCACGGTTTGTGTACAGTTTAGGGTGTCTAGGTTTACAAAAAGCTTTAATTGGAAAGAGCCTGTTTTCAAATTTTAAGAAAAGCAAAAACACGTCAAAAAAATCAGTCCCAAAAGTCAAAATCAAAAAACATCAAATCAGAAAGTTTCAGAAAGGACAAGAAAGTCAATTTGCCCAGATCCGATTTTTTGTTTTTGTTTTTTGTGTTTTACATTTTTTGATTGTTTTTTTGGGTCATTTTGTCGATTTTTTTTACTTTTTCGAGTGGTTGACTTTTTTTGTTTTTTTGCTTCTTTTTTGACTTTTTCGAGTTGTTTTTTGAATTTGCCATTTTTTGTTGTTTACTTGTTTCGATTTCTTTTACTTTTTTGAGCTGTGGTCTATGGTTGATTTTTTTTAACTTTTTTTTACTTTTCAATTTGTTTTTTGCCTTTAACTTTTCCAGTTGACTTTTTTCATTGTTTTTTTAATTCAAGGATTCTGGCCTTACCATATGAAAGTTTTTTTATAAGTCTAGGTTCAGTTTGGTTCACGGCACACCGAACTTAAACCGGAACCAAACAGTTCTCATTCAAGTCATGGTATGCACAATCGGGTTCTTTTATTTTTCTTGGGAGATGCAGGCCAGCTTTGGATATCCAGTGTGCCTTCAGTGTACTGTAGATTTCTTGCAGCTGGTTGCAAAACGAGGTGGACAAGACCTGGCGCCAAGTTTCTTCGCAAAAATACCGCAGCATTCTTGATTTGCTTGGAAAAAAGGCAGGGCAGTCCAAAGGGGCCCATTGTCGTGCATCATTTGGTGCATTTTTGTATATCTCAATTCAGCATACAGCTTCGCAGAGTATTCTACATATCAAGACTTGCAAAGACCGAAGAAGACCCCTTTAGTAACTTAATAGAGAGAGGTAGCTTTGTCCACGAAACACTGTAGAACGATAGGGTCCACGAAAATCCGATAAGGTCAGGTCTGTTTTTCTTTGGCTGAAGAATAAACATCGGCGTTAACCGTACAGGTAAAAGTCTGCACAAGCATCAAATACTTTGTCTGAATTCTTGCGTAGGCAGACCACTCAGTCTTGCGGCTACTTCAAATCTCACAGCAACATATTGAGAGCCAACTGGCACCTTGGCTCAACAGTTTACTCACCCCAAGGCTGAGAGAGGGTGCAGCAAGGAGGCTGAGCCTGAGAGGTGAAAAGGCAGGTTGATTGGATGGGCACATGTAGTGCATTTCTTCTCAGTGAGGATCGCGTGCGTCATGAACGAGAGCTGTGGAAGGCCGGTGACTTTGCATTTGCTTTAGTTCCTGCAAGGAATGAATGCCACTTCTCAAACTCACCTTGCTCCCCTCACCTCAACCCTTTTTTCTGCTCATTTGGGTGAGCAGATCAAAAGCTCTTCCAGCTGCTCGAGGGCATGCACTTTGCTCCAACGAACCTAGTGAAAACGAGACCAATCGTCCAGTAGAGAGCCAGAGAGATCAAAGAGCAAAGGCTTATAAGGCCTTCAGTTGGGACGAGTAATTAAGTGTAAAGCCAAACTGAAAGAGGAAGGCAGAAGGATGCGAAAAGAGAAAAGATGAGAAAAGGGAAAGGAGATGAAAGGAGGTAGGAAACGGGTGCCTTCTCTTGGAAGTATGCCACAGTTGCAGCTGTTTGGGCCGACGCCGAGACTGGAGGGGATCTCAAAAGGAGTATTTTTCGATGGGGAAGAGTAAAGTTTTCTCCAACAGGGCTGGCTGTGAAATCGCGCGTCTGATGTCGCAGTCCACGGTGGATTCTGGAGGAAAAGGGACCGAGAATGTAAACGCAGCGCTTTGTAGCTTGTGACGTAAACTGAAATGGTCTCACTGCATCAAGTTCAGAGCTGTTTCAAGTCAAAGCGGTTTCGACACGGCTTGAACATGGAGAACATGCATCAGCTCTTTAGCGCACCTGACGTAATGGCTGGCATGTTGTGAAACATAACTTTATATACATCTTTGGATTTCCCACCAACCATCATTTTCGCGCAGGTACGTGTCCAGATTACACTTCCGCTTTCAAGTGATGCCCTTTTCATTGGACGTTCAACGCCACTGAGAAGAGTGCCCCCCACCAGTGAACAAGAAAGAATCCCAGCTAGGTTTTCACAGGCACACGCTCCAGAAAGAGCTCGCAAGAGCTTAATTCAGGGTGATTCCAAGAGTGCATTAACCTTTACGTTCTACTTAATTACTGCGTTACCCGATTAGTGCAGAAACGACCTGAGACCTCAAGAAATGGCCCTGTGACATGACACCTCCAACGATAAAATGTGTTGCATCACAGTGTCAGCAAAAGCAGGTACACGAGAGTGATCAAGTCCGGCTTCCACCATTACGCATAGCTTCGTTGGCGTGCGTTTGCGTAACGGCCGCATGCCCCCTGCTGTCGGAATAACGGTATAAATGACGGCGCAACAGTAGAAAGAAGCTAGTGAAGGTCCCTGGAGATGGGTGGTGACACACGCACACACACTTAGATTGATGCTCGCAAGAGCTGTATCAGTTAGTGAAATCCCGGACTACTGCAAGTAGACCTTTACACTCAATTAGACCTTGACTTGAATCAACTGCAGGAAGTTCTGGGTCGGTTCAACAGAAAGTTTCAACACTTCGCACTAGCTCTTTAGAATGGATTTTAAAAATATTGCAGGCACGTTCAGAGAGCGTCCTCTCCGAATATCACATCCGATCAACAGCGTCTTTGTTAGGCAGTGGCTGTTGAAAGGATCACTGCCACCCTGCTCTGTACATTAGTGAAGCAGAAGTTGACACACACACACACAATAAGCCGTCTTTCGGCGCGCGCTCCTTTTTCTTCGCAGGGGGGTGGGTGTGCATTGAGTAGACGAGCCTCAAAAACCGACCTGACAAGCCTGAAGGAAAGACCAAACAAAAGGAAAAGGCAAGGAAAGAAGGAAAGATGCAGGGGTGCCGGGGGGGTTGTTGACAGGCACGGGGGCAAAGGCACTGGCCATGAAGCCGAAATCGACGCACCCTTGATTGAAAATTAACCTGATACATGAAAAGCCTCTAGCAACGAGAGAAAGCCTGAGAGAAACGCAAAACCCTAGAAGGAGAGAAAGCAAGACCGTGCATGAATTACTCAGTGTGAAACGTACGAGTGAATATTTAGCACTTGACTGAAAGATAACCTGGAACCTGAAAAGCCTCTAGCAACGAAGAAAGACCTAGAAAACGAAGAAAACCGAAAGAAGAAATGCAAAAACATCAACTGCCTATGAATACTTGGCTGCATGACATGTGGCCTATGACTACTGAGACGTGTGAAGCATATCATTCTGTGGTGGATTCAGTGGGCCCTGCGGCATATGTTCGGCAATCTCAAGCAAGCGGCTGAGTCGGTGAGGTTCGAGCAATAACGAATGTTCAGTGTAAGTTCACCCTTGAGGGCCTGCACAAGAAGCACCCCTTGGCGGGGATCACACAACCGACCTCTCTGGGACCCTGTTGCGAGACACACTTAGATTGATGCTCGCAAGAGCTGTATCAATTAGTGAAACCCCGGACTACTGCAAGTAGACCTTTACGTTCAATTGGACCTTGACTTGAATCAGCTGCAGGAAGTGCTGGTCGGTTTAACAGAAGGCTTCAACACTTCGCACTGACTCTTCAGAATGGGTTTTAAAATTCTTGCAGGTACGTTCAGAGAGCGCCCTCTCCGAATATCACATCCGATCAACAGCGTCTTTGTTAGGCAGTGGCTGTTGAAAGGATCACTGCCACCCTGCTCTGTACATTAGTGTGTTCAAAATCCTTAGAAGCAGGAGTTGATGCGCGCACACACTTAGAAATGCGTACTGATGTGAGTGCGGCGCCACACGCCAGCCTAAGTGAAAAACCTAAGGCTAGGGGTTCAGGTGAGTTGCAAAAGCCTTCAACGTCTCAAAAACTTCCAAACAACGCACGAATCCGAAACGCGGCGACAAGCTGACGGCGTCCGCGCGCATCTGCCCACCTGAGAGAAACCTAACCAGCCTGGTCAGCTAGAGGAGAATGTGATTACCGAACATCACACTGGTGAAATTGCAGGTACACAGATTGGCGTCCCAATCTGCTTCACGGAGTATCCACAGCTGTCTTCGTTGGCAGCAGAACTGTGGACTCCCTGCTGCCCCGTGCTGAAAAACTAAAGGAATCGTCGCAATCCAACAGGATCCCTGTGATTTCAAGGGGCACACGCACGCACACACGCCTCCCCGAAGGAGGCATTCCCTTTTCCTCTAAGCTTCGGACGATGGTGGGATGGATTGAATTAACCCTACGAGAAACGGTGAGTCTCACGAAAGGTCTGGTAGGCCGTCAGCGGTAGTCTGAGTTGCCCAATAGCATCATCGTGTAGACGAAGTGCAATAGTATGCTGGGGACGGTAAGGAAAGGGGGTTCCCTCACGAGAGAATTCGTGGATATACCCGATGGGGCGGAGGCGCTTGGAGTTCACGTAGTACAGGACAAGGTTTTCCAGGGTGCAAGTATAGGGAACCTCCCAAACCCGTGAGTCACCAGAAGAGGGCAGGGCCATCCAGAAGGATGAACGATTTTGGCCCAAGCGGGAAAAGATCACGTCCTTGAGGTCATCGACCGTGTATTCATTGTTTTCAATCTGATCTGCGGTCAAAGTCACAGTGATGTAGTTTAAAGGCTGATGGACCAAGAGACTAATGTCCAGTTCAAAGCGGACGGCGAGGAGATTGGGGACTTGACCCAAAGTCTCGTGAGGTTGTCGAGGTTCACGCCAGTCTGTAGGGATCATCTGAGCCAGAGGTTCAGGAACACGGAGTTGAGGGGAGGAAATCATGTATGGAAGGGGTTGTCGTGGCGGGTGTCCGAGATGGAATCTTTGGCAGCTGAAGCTATTAGGGGATGGCTGCGGGCATCCAAAAGGTAGGTGCTAGCGGTGAAAGTAAATCGTGAACAGATTCACAAAGCCGGGGAAGTATGACAAAGAGTGTATCAGGGTAAGCGTAATGTAGCCTGGTTGGAAGCAATGTTCGCGGGAGGGCGACATGGACACATCGAGCAACCCAAGCACGCCCAGTCCTGGCAAACACGTGCCCTACATGACCTACCAGGCCACCGAGCTGACTTTGACCATTGTCGCTATGGCGCGGCTTGCTTGGATGAAGATCAACAATGCCGCCCACTAAGAAGAGCGCTACTGTCCTCACCTCCAAGAAGGCGATTCAGAATGCCATGACCCTCACTTGCGAAGGGGATCACGACCACTGCGCCCTCGAGGGCAATGTACGTGGCTATGGACCACGGACACGCTACATGGAAGAGTACCAACCAGCTCTGGCCTCAACCCTGGCAGCAGCAATCTCTCTTGACGAACCACCACAGCTATGGGAAAAGGGATATGCTTCCACTGAGCAACGGGAAGTGACCCCAACGTTGGTCAAGCGTGCTGACACCCGTCAACAAGCTGTTCGCATTGTGCAGAAGCTTCACCGGAATCTTGGTCACCCTTCGACTAAGGAACTCACCGAGTTGCTGCAGACGCGGGGAGCATCAGAGGAAATCTTGAAGGTAGCTCAGTCCTATGTCTGCACCGCCTGTGCCAAGTACAAGAAGCCTGCTGATGCAGCACCTGCTTCACTGCCTCAGTCGACGACCGGACGGCAACGCGTGATCATTTTTCAAAGCTCCTCCCTACTACATGTGTATCTCTTTCTGTTCACAGTCTTCGGGTCTGTTTGGACTTCTTCAGCTACGTTCAATCTTTTTGTGACCTCACCTACCTGGAGCACCGTCCCTGGTCTTTATCAAAGGTCAACTTTGCCGCCTGATCCTTTTTCGCACTTTGCGTTTTTCCATACCTCTTTCCTGCAGGACCACCCTCGGCTACAATCACGTTTTCCACACGCTCTGCATTCTCGTTTGCCATCGTTATAGCACTTTTGGCTCAAATTTCGTCCCTTCCTCTCTTCCCTCAGTTCCCTCCCCTTCAATCAAGGGTGAAACTGACACGAATTAGAATTACGGGCTTGCCTCGGTCAGACGAAAAGGTAGGGATGGATGAGGAATTCGAAAGCGTACAAGTTCACCTGACGGTTTCATCAGATAGCCGAAGAGTCCTGGAGCCAGCGTAGGACCAGTTGTAGTCGACGAGGAAGATGGTCGGTCAGAGAGATGCGGGACAGGTTTGGTCGGAGATCCCTGTCAACGTAGGGTGGATGGAGGTTCCATAGGTCGAGCTTTCGCGGGAAAGGTAGTGGAAACAAGCTCGGGTTCA